GCTGGTCTGTGTGTGTGTGTGTTGGTCACTGTTGCAGAATGTATACACTACGTTTCGTCACACAGTATCGATTGATCGTTGTAGTGGGATGCAGGGAGGCACGTGACTTGTTCTCTATATATATGGTAATCAATTTTTTTTGAATGGTTGCTTCCATTGCGGGTGAGTGTAACACCCGAATACCGGCTAGGTAGATTAGCTTATAAGTTGAGAAATGAGCAAGCCGTTACTATGCTTAGATAAAGCTCGTTATAGGTCTCCAATTCCACAGCTAACGCCATGCGTATTCATCGAATCTTGGGTGCGAGAAATTCGCCGGCGAATAGGGTGAACAATGTGGACAGTATTTCAGTTACCGAGTGGTACCCAGTACACAGAGATCCCAAACCGAACCCGATGAACGGTCATGACGGATAAACGAGAATAACAACAATGAATACGAGAGAATACGTTTCTTTATAATCTGATTGTGGACAGTAGTTCACTTTGGTGCGTGTGGCTGAATATATATATACATATATGTATATGCATATATATATGAATAATAATAATGATAATAATAATAATAAGCATATATGCGTTTGTTTATACGCAGTTGGTTCACCTCAACTGGATAGAGAATGAAAATGAATTTTCTGTAGAAAAACAAAGGAACATGGTGGCCGGGAATTTGTACAGTGGAGGGGTGAGAGAGGGGGGGATGACCNNNNGGCAGTGCACACAACCGGGTGCACTCTCGTATTGATGGGGTATGCATGCTCGCGGTGATTTAACGAAATGCGATCGCAAACACGCAGACCAGACCAGTGAAGGTGTGAATACAGAGAGACAAGCTGGTCGAGGACAGAAGACGACAAATAGGGTGTAACTATCTTCAGAGAGGTAATGTGCGTCCGAAAAATGACCTGATGTGATCGATTACTGCGTATGTTTGTGTGTTTGTGATGCAAATCTGGATACGAAAGTGTTCACTAGGGAGTTGTTGAGACAAATGGATAGATAAGCCGGATGATGATGATGATAATAATGAACAAGCAGCTGTGTTTAGACACAACTGAATGGTAGGAAAGACTAACTGTTCACGAGTGAGGAGGGAGAGAGAGATGAGAACGTTCCAGCACGGAGTGGTCAGTCATGTGGAGGTATTGTGTGTGGAAAAAAATGAAAGCACTGTTTATGAATCGCTGTTGGGTGCTTGGATTCGTTTGAGAACTGGAGTACGAGGAGCAAACGAGAAATCGTGTGTGTGTGTGGTCATGATTTACACAGCGGTGACGATTCGTGCTATGGAACGACTGCAAGGGCATAAACCGGGTGAATACGTATGCGAATGATGATGCTCATCGTTTTGCAGATAAATCCATAGGGGACTCATCAGTCATGAAGGGCATACTGGAAGAGGAAGGGATGGCAGAGATCGCGCCACAGAGATGCTCGGTCGACGGATACAGCTCGCGACTAGACGATGTGTTGAACACGGCGGATTGACTCACAGCAGCGGCTACCATATCGGCTAGTTGGAGCTGAGCCGGCAACATCAGGTTTGGTCCGGGAGGACCTGTTGGGATAAGCGTGGAACTGGTGGAGACCGAGGAGACAGATGTCGGCGGTTGCATACTCGACCCCGTGGACAAAGTAAACGGGGAAAAATTCGAGGTGAACAAAGTTTCGTTGTTTACACTGTTTCCAGTCAAAAAATTGGACGTGTTGGGCATGAACGAGCCGAGAGCCGCTGTCAGATTGTTTGACAGTGGAATCTGAGTTGCCCAGGGATTGATGGAGGACATACAGGAGGACACAGGAGGCATGTTCGAACCGAGATGAGAGGAGCTAGCAGCGTCGGTACCGAGCAGTTGCATTCTTAACTGTTGGAAGTAGATGGCTGTGGCCAATGCAGAATCATGAGTCGAGACCATAGGCGCAGAACCGGATAGAGGCGGCATTTGTAGAGCAAGAGAGACCGGGGTGCCCGGAACGGATAAACAATTTAATGATTGCGGTCCTGCTCCGGAAAGACCCAACAGGGGAGAGAACGAATTGCCACCAGCACAAGTGAACATTGACGACGAAAGGGAAGTTTCCATTTGGTCCATAGTGACAGATGTTTCAGGTTTGGAGGATGCCGTGACTGATCGGCGCGACACGTTACTGTTAGCTCCACCGAGACGCGGGATAGACAGTGTTCGGGGTGAGAGATGATGTGTCGGTGATGAATCGGAAAACGTGTACACGTTGTTTGGATCCAGAGCAGCTGACGAAGACGAGCGCGAGGTGGAGCAAGAGATCGATTTAGTCGAGGTACGCGGGACTTTCAGATTGGTTAAAACCGCATTAGCTGAACTGTCTCGTACCTTTGCACGTCGAGGAGTATCACTTGTCGGTGCATTACACCGAGATGAACCCGGTGCTTTCGGACCAGTACTCTTTGAACGTCCGGTACTCGTGCTAGATTTCGTAATTCCCGGGTGAGAGAAAACGGTGATTTTGTTTGGCGAAGTACTGGTCGGCCGAACCACAGTATTATTTGTTACCACAGTGGACGAAGTGCTGATAACTGTAGTCGTAGTTGGGACTGAAGACAAAGCCGACTTACTGACTGATACGCTTATGGAAGCAGGATCAACATTGTTTGAGACAATAACGTTATCATTAGTTACCGAGCGTGGGGACTGATCCACGGGGGTAGAGGATCGTCTTGGAGGAGTAAGGAGACCGGGAGATGAGGGAGGCTCTTCAGAAGATTTTATAGCAGCTTCGGTGGCGGCCAACATCAGCGCCGAAGTTGAAGGTGCCTCGGATTTACTGACGGAAACCGGTGATTTAACATCATCTTCCAACGGAGGAATTATGGGCGCATCAACTAGGTCTGCTATTTTAGACCCTACCTCGTTAACCGGATCTGATAGGATGGCGTTTTCTGAACGTTTCGAAGAAGAAGACTCGAGGGTAGATTCTTCGTAGATTGTGCTTAGGTCACAAACAGCACGAGACTTCTGGGAACTGACTATCGGTTCTTCAGGGGCCACATTCTCATCCGTGTATAATCGATCGTCCATGGACGTGTCCTTCTGGCATTCCGATTTGATTGCAGTGGAGCATGTGACCACACTCGTGGCGCTGGACGCACTGCACACAACCGGAGATGAGGGAGCGTTCGGATAAACGACAGGATGATGCAATTTTGACCCAGACCATTGAACCAGTTGACTTGATGGAACACCGAAGAAATCGTCCGGGCCAGAACATTCTTTGATGCTTATGGTTAGACCATCAACGGTCACATCAGTCACACATATTTCTTGAACTAATCGTAACCGTTTCGGATCTGGGGTGAGGAGAGTGACGCGGGGTTGAGGTGCAACGCATCGATTACTTCGATCCCTCAAACGATTCGCATGTGTGACGTTAGTCGCCGACGGCGGTGGCGTGAATGCGTTTTTCGGTGAAGGAGAACTAGACGCCGTGGATTGANAGAATTCAAACGGAGGTCAGAAAACACGGAGAATCGATTTGTTCCGGTTCCGGGAATCGGAGTTGGAATCGATCGGAGTTGAATCCGAAGCGGAGCAACCCTGGGCGTTTCGTCACTGGATGTCGGGGTAGGTAAGCTGGGAGTGGGAGACAAACCGTCGGAAGAGGATAAAGTCGAAGCGTGCGAATTGGATGAACCCGAACGACGGCGGACTTTTGTTGGCCCTGGATACCCCGTCGGGGAGATGTCGAATGACGAGGCCGAATCTGGATCTGAAACGAATGCCGGAGCGATTTCCTGAATGTGTTTCCGTCGACGTTTTTCTTTACGATCGGAATGTTTTTTTCGTTTCCCGAGGAGACTCTCACCTACATGAGTAGATCGCACGTGTGTGGTCTGATCGGTATCAGTACGGCCATCCCTCAAAATGGTGATTGCCTCATCAGATGGTCTTCGTTTGTGATGCTGATGATAGTGTGGTGGTACATGAGATGAGGAGGATTCGTTCGCATTGAAAAGCAAAACTTTAGGAAAACCCAGAGTTTTCGAAGGTGGCGTATTCTCTTTTACTCGAGCTGTCCACTTTGTGGGCGATCGACACCCGGGCGTAGTTGACGGACTGATGTGCTCGGAGGAGTGCGGGTGATCGGGGACAATCATGGGCTCACTGGTTCTTAACCCAGTGAAGCATAAGGGTGGGCTACTGTTCACATTGGGTACGGATCGCCGAGGTAGTTCGACTGGTGCGAGAAATCTGGCCGGAACATTAATGGCTGTCTGATCATTTACGTCCGTCATCCCGGTGTCCGACAAACTATGCTCCTCAAAAGACGAATTGGATTGGACTAGGGATGTTTCACGACTGCCACCAGAACTGCTGCCGGTAGTGTTGTTGGCGTTGATTGAGGCGCTGCTGGATGGAGGACAAGCAAGCAAGATATCACGAGGGATGGTGATGCGGATTTTCGGACGTTCGTCCAAAGTGGCATCCGATTCGGACAAGGACCGGCAAAAAACTGGATCCATTTCCGTGGTAGTGGGGATAACCTGTGGAGAAGACGGATACCGAGAGTAAAGTCATTGACTCAGAACCACTATTGGAACAGTGAGAACGATTCCAGTACGGTTATGTATGCAAAACGCGACTAGTGATCTTCGATGTAATATCGGAAATATGTTCCGCATGTTCTAAGAACATAAGAACTCTGATTCAAAGTGCACTTTGAGTTATTTTTCATTGATTGACCTCGAGTCCCAAATACAGTTTCGTTTCAAATAAAGTGATTTGAGAAACCGTTGATTTTGCAACAATAACGCTGTGTTGAATAGCTGCTTTTTGTCAGAAGATCAGCAAATTGTGGTTGAAAATCGCTACAATAATTCGATAAACCATAACGATGAGCCAGAAAGCATACCTGAACAGACTCAAGAGTTTTTTTCGTGAGATAAAACACTCGTGATCAAACAATATAAGCGATCGAAGTCTTATGCATATGACGATCATAACATAAACAGTAGACAAAAATCATTTCTAGTAGATTCCTGCGGCAAAAAATGTCTAAATCAACATGAGTAAAGCTAATCGGGCGCACAATAATGCATGGTTAATAGCTGAATCTGAATCGGGCTGATATCTTGATTTGAGCAGATATGAATGCTAGAGAACGTCGGATGACATCGAGCGAAGCCTATTTGTGAAGTCCTTCAGGATTACTAGATTACTCAGAAAACAAGGGAATGGCTTTTGGGTCCATGTTCCGACCACCGCCTGTTCCCCCTCCAGTACGAACTTCAGTTGATACAGCAGCAGTTAGTGTCTATTGGGCACTTCAAAGTACCGTTTAACTCGCCATCAACGTCCGTTTTTCACACAGCTATTGCGGCACATGTTCCATGGTCTGTCTCAACAGACCCGCCCTTCGGGGATGGAAATCCTTAAGGAATTCCAAGCTTTGGGACGTCACAAAGCGCCGGGCCCCGATGGCCTTCCTCCAGGTCTATTCAGAGATGGTGGAATAAAGCTTGGTAGAGAATTAGGGGTTATATCCTCTAAAGTTTGCAATTTGGGCAGATCCCCTCCCGGTGGTGAAAAAAGCTATGCAGTGACTGCACCAATCATAGGGCCTAAGCCTGATTCCAATAGCGTCGAAACTGTTAGCGTCCGTCGTTCTTCGTAGACTATACAAGACGCGCGAGGACTATGTCGACAAAGAGCAGTCTCGGTTTCGCTGCGATCATGATTGCATCGATGAAATCTCCGAGTTACTAATGCACTGACAAGCTTACCCAGACATCCACGCAACATTCAAATCTGTTGACAGGACAACACTATGAAACTAGTTGTTGAGGGATAGAGCAAGGGAGAAATAGATGTCGATCCTGAAAGAGTTGTACCATCATACCTCAGGTCGGGTTAGGGTCTATCGCCAGCATTCGCCACCTTTTATCGTTTCTAGCGGAGTGCGACACAGGTGCACGATATCCCCATTCCTCTTCAATTTTGTCAAAGAGGATGTTCTACAAACGGTAGAGTAGAAGTCTTCGAGTAATCAGAGTTCTTGACTTGAAATATGCCGATGACATCAGCTTGTTGGGTGACAATGCACAGGCAGTCCTACACGCTTTAAAACACTTGACGATGGAGGTATACAAATATGGTATGTGCTTTGATCCATCCAAGTGCAAATGGCTTGTACAAGACTGATAAGAACGAGTGCCTGCATTCACTCTTTCCGATGATCAGATAAAGTACTTCACGAGCTTCATCCCAGCCGGAGTTTGTGTTACAGAAGAGATCACATCACGAATAAGTTAGAGCAGTTTTCGCCGTTCCTTAATGATAAGGTGTATATCACTGCGGTTCGTTGCGTTCTCCGAGCGGAGGCCAATTCAGTTTTCTGTCATTGACCACCGATGTACGCGAAGCATTGCTCGTATCTGGTGGGAACATCGGGTGACCAATGAAGAAATTACTCGTCGAGTAACGGGAACCGATAATCGTTCTCTAAAATAGTAATCGCTTGACATCGCCTCCGATGGTACAGTCATGATCAGCGTATGCTTGTCCATCGTATACCTCAGCGTGCTATCTTTGCACGTGCTGTACGGCGTTCAGGCAATGACATGGCGTATAGGTCTGAAGAAACTAGCCTCATCTTTGGCTTCGGTTGGTTCAGCTAGTTTTCCAGGCTATGACCGGAGGGATGAGGATTGCCGATGGCTTGAGATGCTGACATTGGGCTCAGAATAGATGTCAGTGGCGCTATTGTTCTTGGTCGAAATCCCGCACTCCATAACAGACAGAAGAAAGTTGAATGGTGAAACTATTAAAGATTTATCATTTCCTCATTTGTTCTCTCTGTTCTCTCCACTACGCCCTTTCTTTTCATCATTCTGTACTTCTCATTACCATTGCCAATGCCACCGCGTGGACACCATGAATGTTCTGAAGCCGGTATAACTACAACACCGCGCCACCACGATATTTGGTATTGAAGCTTTATATTCACCTATTTCACGGAGACCGCGCCTAATCATTTCTTTGCATCCATGAGTGGAACTTATTCGAGTAATAAACTCATCGTGGGGTTTGGACATGACAAAAAAAGGAACACACATGTGATGTGTGATGTTCTTAACTTCAGCCCAGTTGGCATTAACCTAGTCATGGAAACTACAATAATATTTCATAGTTCATTGCAAATAAGAAAGAGTAGTAAACATGGAATACTTACCGGTCGGGTATACGTGGGGCTGTTATTCAAACTGGGGTTCGTTCCCACGCTAACCGTTTGTTTAGCTGTTCGTCGAGAACTGGCCAGGGAGGCAGAGGCAGCCGCGGCGATCATGGTCGAGTGCCGAAATCGTCGATCGGACGGTCGATCAAAGAATGACTCCATCGATGTGGGGATTGAGTCCACTGCAGTCGGGGGGGACATGGCGGTTTCAGATAAACTGGACGCGGTGGTGACCGGAATTGTCGCAGAAGGCGCTGGGGAAATGACGGAAACACTCACAGTTGTTGCAGCGGTGAAGTTAGGTGTGGTAGAAGTTACGGATGTAGTATTGGAAATGTGCGTTTTTGAGTCCGTCCCATCAGTGACGGAAGGGGATTGGCGAGGACTATGGGTGGATTGTACTGCATCAGAGCTCGAATCAGCTGGAATGACTTTGACTTGAGGGTCATGGTTCGCGGGACTGATTGTGGTGGACGATTGACCCTTATCGATTGTGACTGTTATCGGGCGTTTTGCTGCCGGGATGGGCGAGCTCGGGATACAGTTCGATGTATCAAGTGAAGATTGACTGGTGTCCAACGACGAAGACGAGTCGACCTCTTTGGCTTTCTTGCGTCTCTCTCTGCAAGGTAACAACAGACAGTTTTCATTATATCAAACATTCATGATGTGAATGGATTCAATTTAGACGATAGACAGTGTGATTGATAAAGACCTGCGGAGGATGTGTTCACAACTCACCTGCGATTGAAAGATTCTATGAGCCGTTTGTCAAGGATATTCTTTTCGGGTTCCCAACTGTTGTGACTGTAATGCACAGAGAAATCGGAAAGAGTCGCGGTTATGAAATAGCATTTGGAGAAAAGGGAACATATCGGCTATACTTTTTTCAGTTTTCGTGCAAAACGTGCTGTTGGCCACACAAAAAAAACAGATTCGGGGTGAAGGCGGTGCAGGTGACCAATTAGTTCAACAGTGTTGTGAGTGGTGACGGAAATGTAACTTTTCATGGGATATGCAAATCTACGTTATTCCCTGATTGAAAAGTTCCCCCTACTGTACTTTTATTTTGCCATCAGACGACTAGAATTAGCCAAATGGCAGCAATAAAAAAAGAAAACAATTTCAAGTAGATTAAGTTGCAGGCACTGACGTTTTTCCGGGAGCTGAAGTTTGCCCGCCTCAGCACTACGCCTTTTAGTGGATCTTTTGTAGTTCGCTACTCCAAGTCTATTATCATATCGTACAGCGACATACAGTGAAGTGAACTTCACTGATCGCTGCCAAGCTCACAATGTGCATAAACCAGGGGACAAAGCACAGGATGCCGAGGGATTTAGCCTAATTGGAGGAACGCAAAAAAAAGTGAACCTCTATGGTCAAAACGCAGAGTGCATACATCCCTTTTCACGCATTCTGGCCTGATAAGAAATGAGGACAAGAAGGCTACTGCAAACGGTTGGTTGCCATATCTTCCAGTGACTAACCAGTCGCAGTCTATTGGACACCAACCTAAACGCTCTGTGCATTTTTTCCGGCTTCGTTTTCGCGTCATCTGTTGACCTCCACATGGTTTCCTTCAACCTGAAGTCACAACTGTGAACAAGACACGGTGCGATAGACGACGGCTGGATATGTTCTAACCAACGAAGCCGACTAATCTGAATTCCATGGGACAACAAATTCTCCATCGAATCATTACCAAATACGCGACGCCTGGGTTGCTTACACGGTCGCTCCACTCAACCCACACCAAACTACTTCCGGACGACGAATATCTTCCATATGCAAATTGAGGTCTTCGCAACCATAGAGCAGTTCAAGGCCTAAGGGTGTATGGGGTACTCGATTGGAGCAGCATCTCTGACTTGGAGGATTGTCGGCTCCTTTGGGGCATCCTGCGTTCTTTGGTCTCCGCAGCCTACAACCTTATAACTCAAAGAAGCTGTTTGGATGCAACAGTGGCCACACTCCGATAAACCGCGCGACAGGTGGACCAAACCACATAGAGGGCAACCAGGAACTCAACCGTCGGCGACTCGGTGTCCAGCGTACGTGTTGGGCGAACAAAGTCGCTTTCACGACTCAAAGGTCTAGGAACTAAATTCGAACACATGGATCCCTGTTCAGCTAGAAACGGCTGATGGCGTATGAGCTGTCACCAGAGAGTTATCGGCAACCATGCTCTACGTTCCTGCTGCCTTGCTATTAGCACATGGATGTGCAAAGGATAGAGACGCCACCTCGATCCAAAGCCGGGTGGCGCTGCGGACGTTTCTCGTACCTAATTCCCAAGAAATGTTATGGATATTCACTGGATACCGATGAAGCCGGCCTTCCTCTCCGAAGAACCAGCCCTGTGAACTAAAGTAAAGTAAGTTTCTGATTGCTAGGATTGACCACATGTTTCAGCATACAGTGCAGTTAAAATCAATAAGCAACCCTGAGCGACGGCCAAGAAAGATGACTAGCTTCAAGTTACTTGTAGGCCGCCAGGGTGTTTGACTTCGAAGTCGAGTGGAAACATTAGACATTCTACTGCCTGGTATTTCATATCGCCCATCGTTCGAACAGCGATCAAGCAATCCATTTAATAACAACTTGTAATGGACATTAACCGGATAATCAACAGACACAAATCAAAAGGACCCTTAGTTGATTATATCCCGAAATAAAAGATTATCAATTGGTACTGGCAACATATATAAACGAAGCCTCAATTCAAAGGGAATGATGGGCGAAGATAGTTGCCGCGTTCGTTTATTCTAGCTTTTCGACATTATCTTGTGAAAGGGAAACTGGGAAGCATCATTTCAAGACTTGGAGCGGTGGACCACCTAAGACGTCAACAGTTCAGGCGTGACAGTGAGCCGTTATACTAGTATCGTTGATCCAAGTTACCCAATGCGATTCAAATTTTGGACCGCGAAATGTTTAGTACAAAGCTTGGATTCAGATGATGGTCAGTTACGTAACCAGTAACAATCGTAAATTGTATCCCTTGTGATTGTAAAAGAGATCAGTGGAGTTTCCTTCGTTAGACTCCCTACTTGGTCAAAAAACCTCGCCAGGAAAACCGATTTTATACCCACACGAAGATCCGCAGTTTCTATCGGCCGTGTAAACTGAAAACATTTAATGGCTATTTGCGGTTTGTTCTGTTGTCTACCTACGAAAAACGAAGCCAAAAACAAATAAAGCACGACCAAATTGGGTTCGTCCAATTTCGGATCCTGTGTCTGAGCCCCCATCGGTTTGCCTACCATTAGACCGAACGGTCAAAACGATCGCATCTCGCTTAACCAAAGCGCGGTTCGGCGAACACGAGCATACCCAAACGCTTGCGGCGCGACGGACTGCCTGGTCGATCGATGCCTACGACCCACAGCCAATCACAGGTCTGTATCGATCGTCAATGCAGAACGGCTTGCCTTGCTAGCGCATGACGCGCCAGGCGTGTCTGTTTGCAGTCGTGTGAATGAAGTCGGCTGCATACAGACTTAGCAAATACACACATACACCGAAACAAACGCAATCACTACACACAATGCAAGTGCGCACGCACGCACGCCTACAGTCAGTCAGGCTCAGGCGAACGGGCAGGCAGGTAACGACCATGCAATCAAGCTTAAAATCGTTCAGAATGGTTCACAGAATCGGAAAATCATACCCGCTGGGGCTACCGTCGTTGTCGTTATTGTACACACTCACAAACACACAAGCGAGATCGTGGGTACACATGTATGCGATGAATGGAGTAAGCGAGCTAGCAAATTCGTACACTCCCATATGATAAGGCCAAAGCATGGAGATGGAACAACATAACGCAAAACCGTAGATCAGATAGTCAACAAAATAGGTAATATGGACTTACGCTTCTGACCAGTTTTTCCATTTCACTAGATATTCCACACGATTCTGAAGAAACCGAAGCGTAGAACAAAACAATCAGACGGTGGAGAAACGGGATATGTTCACGAAAATAGGTAGGTCAGTTTAACGTATGAGATGAAATCTGTGAAGTTCAGCTTCGATAGTGTTTGTTTAATGGCATACCTATGAATAAGAAATAAGAATACGAAATTCGCTAAGAAATAATTTTCCAAATCCTTTTTATCATAATCTTTTGTTTGTATTAGATGGTTTAGAAAGGCAATCTAAATCCACTGAAGAATACGGGAAAAACAGTAGAGCATAAAATCACCAACAAATAAGGTCACTAAGCAGAAGTTGTCTGTAAAAATTGCAGCTATGTATCAAGTGGAATTTCGTCAGCAGTTATGTACCTAAGAGGGATGTCTGAGTTTACCGTTTTCCATAGCAAATACGTATACATCTTACCGTATCGCAGGTTCGAACCGCGTACAATACAGTAGAAATGCAATGCAGTTCCTAGTGTTCAGCGTTCATATATCTACAGTACAGCAATCGTCATCACAAAAAACCCTACGACTATATCCCTGAAATGAGCACAAGGCGTTGTGATTCACAAGTAATGTGAACAATCCTAAGTCTAATATTATACGGTATAAATTTACGACCAAATGGATAGCCTTAGCAGGATCGCTACATGACTTACTCCGCAAATCCGGCTGGCTACTAGCCGTTCAACGCGGTAAACATCCGATTTTCTAGAGCGAGATTTTTGCATAATATAATCCGCGGACAGTGATAATCCACAACAAGTGTCCGTATTTCACAGTGGTCGTGTTATTATTTCCAAAATGTTAGTAGTTATTGATACGTGTACACAGTATTGATCTTTAAGAACAAATATCCATAGACGCGAAGCATACGCGTCCCGGTAGGAATTAAAAAAATTTCCAATGAGTGTAGCGACGTCCTCTCGCCAAGCGGTGGATGTTGATCTGTGGGTTCTACGTCCTTTACGCACGGTATGTAGGTGAATGCTGTCTCCCCTCCCTCCACAAGCTTTCTGAAGACCAATGTTCTCTTTCGTCTCCACCCTACCAGTAACACACAAGGGTGGCGGACATCTAGGCCAGCTTTTAGGGGGGTGGTGTTAACAAACGGACCAGTCACAAGCGTGTGCGTCGCTCCAATACAAAATGGGGGGCTGGTGGTCAAACCAATAAGGCTTGTGTGCTTGAGATTGCTATTTCGTACTATGGCATCAGGTACCATTTCTTCCAACCAATCCCGTTGCAGCTTTGCCATTCTGCATTGTGATTGGTTGATTCACTTGTGCGGTCCTTTACTGGTGTGTGATACACGCACTCACAGATACACAAGCTTACACTGGGGTCGACCGGTCAGGGACGTTGTCGTGGCGATCAGGTCTCGTAGTCACGCATTGAGGTACAGACACACTGAAAATTAAGTTGATCGACCCGACCAACCAACTATTTTCTACCCCTGCCTCAACCCTGAAGACATACACCCATTTCGGTCCTGCACACAAACACAGCCGCACACGCAATCACTGGTTTTGTAAAGAGCAAGCCAACTATAGCTATCGATCCCATCGGAGTTGCATTTGTCTATATAGTGCTTTCTTTCTCGTACTCCTTAAGAGTGATAATCACCCCCCATGGTCGAGTGTGGCACAAGAACGCGGCGAAACTAATCATCTACCCGATGTCAATGCTCGTAATCGACTGGGGCATTTAACCGCTGGTTGTGCGTCTGTATGCTTGGGCTAATTCTATCACTCTAAATAAGGAGTACATTAATCACATCTACTAGCCACACCATCGACCCGGACCAATCACCCAATAAGTTCATTGTCATCTTCAAATAACCAGTTGAGATGAACACCATAATCGGGATACACAATTTCTTCTCCCTGTTTTACACAAGAAGTGTAACAACGATACGCCGGTTAGATGAGGGGAAACTTAAAATTTTGTAACATCTTAGCTTCGTTCAGTATTTTCTACTCGGCTTCAAATGCGGGTGTTCACGGTTTTCGTATATCTCGAACAGACTGCACCTTGGTAGTTTGTGTGCGTGTGTATGCATGATGACTTGTGCATCTGCTTGACCTAATCAACTACACAACATGGTGGATTTTATCCGGCCGAATAACTNAATAACTAATCCCTACTGAAAGTCCAATGGTTGATTCAGCGATTATAACCAACCACTCAGCCGTCCCGGAAAACGTGGATTCGAATCCCACCACTGCCGCGGCTGCCGCATTTCACGTTTCTACTTGAGGACCAATTCGTCTCGGTAAATAGACCTGCATCGCACTGTGCCCGGGGAGATCAAGTTATTGTCAGAACTAACGGTTTTTAGATTGAGCACCGTAGTCGTTCTTCCCTTCAAGTGATTGAACTCCAACTCAAATGGTGCATTTATAGAATAGGTCATCGACGATCGCTTCATGATAGTTCAGTTGTTTCACAGTTGGTTGTCTCCCTTCGATTGCCGGTTACCTCCGTCTTAACAATTGACTGTACGGTTGTGTAATCAATGAATAAAAAGGAAATAAAAACATTGTCATTATTATTATAGACGTACAATAAGTATATCGGTGGAACATATATAGGCATCACATGTTTTAGCATTTGTTTATCGGCATTGGTACCTTGGGGTTCAGTTTAATTCAGTTCTTACAACCCTAAACCATACACATTTTCGTGTGTCGGTTTTGGTTCCTTTCATTTGGTCGCCCATTTGGATAAAACAGCAGAATAAAGATCAGAATGTTGTGAGCCAAATCAAGTGCAGGATAGCGAATTCATATAGACTGAAGTTACAAGAATATTGAATAGATGCACGAGCACCACTGTTTGCGAAACCCAGCCACCCAGCTCAGTGTCTCTAAACATCGGTGACTATGATCTCGAGAGCCCAAGGGGACCTACGTGAGCCATTCTACTGGTTAGGGTGTTTATACTTCCATGCCAGGTCTTCGTTCGACCGCCCTGGACCATTTTCCATCCGCTATCTGCCTCGACGAACATCGCTCGCTGTGGCAATCTATTTGGTGACATGCGTAGCACACGTGTCCCAGCCAGCGTAACCAATGAAGGTTGGCTACTTGCTCTAGCGGATGACCACGATTACCTAAAACTCTGCACCTAACCACAGCATTGCTCGTTCAGTTACCCCACCGGACTCGTGCAATGTGACGTAGACAGCGGTGTTCGAACACCAACAGCCTATGTTTCTCCTGTTCCGATAGTGGCCAAGTATCTGCACAGTAAAACAGCAATGAGACCGCATTCTGTATGCCAGTGTTTTTCTACCAATAGAGTGGGCTGGGGTGGGGTGAGCAAAGAATCGCAGACACCACCGGTAACCACGGCATCTGTTTGGTGAAAAATCGTTGAACTGGATAACAATCCTGTATGTGGTCTCGTGATATGCCGTCCATGCGTAGCGTGTCTTTCGCCGTCCCGTTCTTTTCCATCTCGTGTATATGAACTGGGTGTTCTAATGTACGTTGTATCAGGTCTATTATGTTAACACCTCTGCCACCCCATTTTTCTGGTTGATTTAATTGACGGATAGCAAACGAATTCAGCAGTGTGAAAATGGTTGTGTTATCTTAATCGGGTGTGTGTACATCAAGGAGAGTTCATAATTTCATCTGCTCCAATTCATATACACTGAACACTCTTCATACAGGTTACCTAAAGCAATCATATTCTTGTATATTCTTTTATATCCCATATTTGTGACCGATACTCATTCTGGATTGCATCGCAACGAGTTCAATCTAATCGATAGGATGGAATAGTTGAATTGGGCAAACAAATGCTTGTTTTTTGTGATCAGTAAATCAAACGGTCATTTATTTGAGCGAATCTATAGATCTTGACAATATTTAGTTATATGCTAGGACGGAAGTTAGTGGTAACGCAATCGGGTCAGTGGTATAAATACGTTTGTTTTTAGGGTTGTGTGTTTTTCTTGTTTGTTTAGCCTTTTTAATTGTTCTTACTATCATATTCGGATTACGTCACATATTCCGCTTGTTACACT